CATAATTTTATGGGTCCGTTTGGTACACTGCAACCTGCAATATGGCTTATTAAATTATATTGTAGTGTTTGTTTTGTAATAGATCACTGTAATATAAAATTGCAATGCAATCACATTACAGCCAATGGATGTAATGTGATTGCATTCCAATAAAATTCAGCATGCAATCACATTACATTGCACTTTACAATATTCTTAAAGACAATTTTACCTTTCAATTTTATTACCTTATTAAAAATATTTTATTAATATTATAATTAAATAAAAATATTAAAATAAAATATATAAATAAGAATAAAATATAAAATAAAATAAAAATATAAAAAATTAACAATTATATAATATAAGTAAAACAAATTAAAATAAAATATTTATATATAAAAAATATATTAAAGAAATGAAATAAAATATATAAAAAATTATAATAATAAATAAAAATAAAATATATGACATTAAAAATATATTTAAAATATGATATTATATAAAAAATTAATAATATAAATATAAATATATTAAAAATAAAATATAATAATTATAATAATAAATAAAATAATAATATGACATTAAAAATATATTTAAGAAATGATATTATATAAAAATTAATAATAAAAATATAAATATATTAAAAATAAATATAAAATATTATAATAATAAATAAAATAATAATATATGATATTAAAAATATATTTAAGAAATGATATTATAAAAATTAATAATACAAAATATAAATATATTAAACTTATATTTTAATAATTAGGGGTAATTTTGACAATTAAGATTATATTCTCACTAAAGTACTTGTAAACCAAACACTGCAATGTTATCTTCCCTGCATTTTAATCATTATTTTGCTTACATACTAAACATTGTAATGTTATTTTCCCTGTAATCACATTGCTTGCAATCACATTACTTGCAATCACATTACCTGTAATTACATTGCATTGTAATGTACCAAACGCCACCTATGTTCATTTCATTTATTTTAACACAAAAAAAAATGAAAGATTCAATAAAAAATTGGAGAATAAATAGTTTTGTTCAAATTCTAATCTATAAGGATCAAAATTTTAAAATAACGTATGATATGGTATAAGTTCCCTACCTTCTTTGTAATTTAATTGCTTATAATGTCTTTGCAATATTTAGTTTGCTATTTAGACAATTGAGATCTTCTTATTGCAAAATCATTACAATGAGAATGTCATTTCCTTCTCTTATGGATGCAAAGTAACTTTCCCTTTGTAAAGGAGAAGTTACAAATTTTATATTTTCCCAATTGTCCTACCCATTGCCCCATCTTTCTTCTATTTTTTCCTCATCTTCTTCTTCTTCCAAGATTCCCCTCATTGTTTGCTTTATCTTCTCTCTCGTTTCTACATTCATTTCTCTTCTATTTTTTTTCTATCACGTTTTTTCTTGATTCTGGGTTTTGGAAATGAAGATGAAAAATTGAAGATTTTGGGTTTGATAAATTGCTTTTTTTCACTTTTTTTTTCTGATGATATGTCTTTTATGATTGTGGGTCCGTGGATGTAGATTTTTTAGGTTGCAGTAAAGAATTCCTATGTCTGAAAGTATTTTAGGATTTTCATTTTGGCTTTTGCTATAATAGTTATCTTTGTGTAGGGATTTTTTTAAAGGGTGAGCATTGATATGTTTCGGTCAATTTCGATTTCAAGAGAAACTAAAATTCCTGAAATTAATTTTTTTTATGATCGATCGAGATTGACCTGTCGACCAACCTAAACTGATCTTGGTTTTAATTAAGTTTAGTTGGTTGGATAGTAGATTGGGCTTAATTTGAGCTTAGACTTAAATGGCCCAAAAATGTTAAAATTATAAAAAAATTTATATTTGTTCTGAGCTTAAATTTGTGTTAAGTCCATTTTGACAATTGAAATCAAACACAAATTGTTTGAATAACCAATTCAACTCATATGATTTATTTTTAATTACATAATTAAATACTATATAATTTTTTTAGTAAAAATAAATGAACATCTTATTATTTATTTATTAGAATGCCAAATCAATAACTTTTTTTTAAAATGAGCAATAAATACCATATATTATATTGGCTAACGAGAATATTAAATAAAATGAAAACGATCAGGGAAAAAGATTTTCATAAATTGTACATAATTTGTAATGCAATTTAGTAATTTATGCAATGCAATTAATTTAAATTCAAAAAATATAACATAAATTAATAAATTGTACATACTACAAATTCATAAAAGTTAGAACTTACAAATTCATAAAGTGGGACAACTTAAATTAGTAAAATTCAAAACATAGATTTGATGGACCTTGAAGGCTCAGACCTCCAACTCCAATGCAGTGATTTTTCAAAACATATTCTTAAAAATATTAAAATATAAAATAATCAATATAAATGGTTGTGTTAAGATAATCTAAATAAATTATAAATTTAAATATGCATAACACTTATGGATAATATTACCTGAAAAGTGAATATAGTCAATAAGAATAACACGTTACTCAGAGTCAGAGTTAAATGTAGCCTCAGTCTCACGTATGGACTCTAACGTAATTTTTGTTAAATCTAAAAAATAAAATAACAAATATGGTAAAATCTTTAAACAAAGAACTAAAGAAATAAATTGAGAAAAAAATGATACTATATTATGGTAAATTAAATAAAGAACTAAAAAAATAAAAAAATAATTACCGAAATCAAGTGTATCGAGTTCATCCAAATCATCCACAAGCTACTCCAAATCACCACTAGCTTTTTCATATAGCCAACCTTGAGTACAAATAAGTGCTTGCATGATCTTATGAGTCAAAGAACACCTATATGCATCAAGCACACATCCATCGATATTAAAAGTGGATTCTGAAGCAACTGTTGATATGGGAACCGTCAATACAACACGAGCAATAGTAACAAGTATAAGAAACCTAAATTGATTGAGTTTCCACTATATGAGAATATCAAAGTTAGTATCCTCGCTAGCATCATCATCCAACAACTTAAATAACTATTTATCCAATTCCCATTTCTGCTTTTCCAAGCCACAATTTAATCGATGCCTTTTAAAAGCACCCAATTTTTTCTTAGTAGTTATTAGATCCTTGCCACTTGAAACAATAGCACTACCATGCCCACTTTCACCACCGATGACTTGTCTCATTGATATTTGAGACTCTTGACCACTTTCAACAACGTGAGATTAAGGTTGGCATTGCAACATATGCTTATAACATTGAAACACTTCATCTATTATTTTTCTCACCAAAGAAAACATCAACATAAGTAAGCTTTTTCTCGGATTAAGAATCGAGGCACTATACAACACCAAATTCATTTTTTTCACGTTCCCTCAATACTTGTCAAATTTAACTTTCGTTCTCATTACCATAAACTTCAAATCAACATCATTACTTTCTTGCCATTCAATCAAAGTGCCATACACATCAGAAATAGAATTAAGAAAAGAATTGGCAATGAAATAAGATGTACCTAAACATTCACAATCATGTCATAAAACATTTTCCAAAAAAGAAAAATCCTCTTAACAATTGTTCAATCGTTATCATCAAGCACCCCATCTCCATTCTTCATTAGTTCACTTTTGTAACTACTATCATAATACTCAAATGATGTAAAAGCCTTCTCAAATTTTACAACCGTATCTAACATCAAAAAAGTAGAATTTCATTTGGTGCACACATCCAAACTCAACAAACACTTACTATCTACTTCTGCACTTGTAGTACACTCCTTAAGCTTGGCTAATTTAGAAAGAAATTGTTTAATATATGTCACTGCTAATCTAACACAAGCAATTAAGTCATTGATATCCTTTAACCCATCAGTCGCATTAAGATTAATAATATGCGCAATGCATCTCATATGAAAAAACTTACCTCTTAAAATACTAGTTCCAATAACATTAAATTTTTCCTTTAAATGTCCTATTGCAACATCATTAGAACTAGCATTATCAGCAGTAATAGAAAAAATCTTTTGAATCCCCCAATCAACCAAACATCTATCAATTACCTTCCTAATAACCTGACCTTTATGACTAGTAATGGGACAAAATTTTAAAATCCTTTTTTGCAAATTTTAATTTTTATCAATAAAATGAGCAATCAGACACAAATAATTAATTTTTTGTACTGAAGTCCATGTGTCTGTGGTAAGACATATTCTATCAGAACATGATCTCAACAATTTTCTCATATAAGTTTTTTCATCAGTAAAAACCTTGAAACAATCCATAGCAATGGTCCATCGTGACGGTACATAAAATC